TAGAGGCCAGAGACAAGCCTGGCGGATGCCGCAAATACCAACCCACTATAATAATGGGGGGAGCACATTTATTATGTTCTAAAAGCAGTGACAGAGGAAAGATGAGACGACAGCTAAAGAGCCAGTTGGATGGAAGACCATTTACATTAACATTTAAATTTCATGTAAACGGTCAGATTGGACCAAGGCTTTTATCCAAAGAACTTTTTGTATGATATCTGCCATGCTTCTTGAATCATAGCAAACCACATTCAGAGAGAGACTCTGGATTTCATTCAGCACATGACATATTAATGACATATGAATAAAATAATAATACTCATGTGCTAGTTCACCAACAGTTTACTGAAATAAAAGTGTTGATTGTAATGATCTCTAAACAATAGGTAGAGTGTGTCAGATATGATGATGAACAATCAGTGTATATGTGTAACATATAGATATGAAGGCTTATTTGTTTTAGTTTTTTTTGACCGCACACAAATGTTGATGGACTATACAGGTCAGACTGAGTGGACAGACATGGTAGCCAGTGTTTTCTTGTCAGTGATGTATGTATGGTGACCTCAGCCCCATCCTAAACAGCAGAGTAAATAATTGTCAAACAAGGAGATGGACAAAGGCGTCGCGTGGTGAGAGAGCTGGACCGGATAACCGACCGGCCCCAGCGCTCTGGCCTTTGGACAGAGGCTACATGACCTCTGTAATCCAGCCCCCACCCGCCCCACCTCTCCTGTCACAAACACACACATATCCAATGTCCTCCTCTTCTTGCCATAATCAGTCTGTGACTAATTGTTTTAATTGTGCCTGCAGATTGTGTACTATGTCCAACTCTATTGGCAGCGATATTGCTTTGGTTGGATTAGCTGGATGTTTAACATGTTGGGTGTTGTGTCTGTAGAAGCAGTAGCCTTGTTTTAGGTTTAAGAGTTTACCAGTTTACATCCAGATTTTATTTGAGGAGGTTTTGAGTTTTATGTATGTGACCTATGTCGTTGTAGAATATTGAGAGTAAAACGGTTTGGTTCAATCTTCCTTGTGTCACATAAACTAATGGCGATGAATATTAGCACAGGACATTTAGATTATAGTTTTGCATGGTAATACATTTGCATGCAGTTGATTTACATGGTACCTGAGTAATTACCCTTTGCAGCCTGATTAGATTTGTAATTTTATTTGCTTAGACTGGATGACTTTTTGTTATGGAGATGCTGAAAACCTACTTGCCTTAGCATTTCAGGCTTAAGTAAGTCAGTGCAACAAATGAGGCCCAGTCAGAACAGAAAAAAGGCAGAATAGGTGTTCGAGTTGGATGAAGGATGCGTAACACAGGGAAGTGGTAGAGATGCACTGATTGATTACCTGATGACTGGAGTTGGGTGTTTTATTTAAGTTGATCTGCCATGGCTGGCTTGTCAGCCATAATTGAACAATCATTTTATCTGACGTTCTCATAATGATAACAGTGGAGCCAGTAATGTCACTGCTGCCTTTATGGACGTCTATTCAGAAGATCACTGGTTCAGTTCTAGTCGGAGACAAAAATCCTATTTGGGTTTGTGTCAGAAAGGGAATCTGGCATAAAGGTAGAGGTAGAGCAGATTATCAACCAATTACAAGGTTGGTGGTTTAATCCTTGGCTGCTTCAGTCTGCATGCCAAAGTATCTCTGGGGAAGATACTGAACCCCACGTTGCTCTCCCATGCATTCATTGGCGTGTGGCATAGAAAAATGTGTATGAATGGGTGAATTAAGCATTTGCGATAGAGCACTACACCACAGAGTGCTACAGTAGAGTAGAAATGCACTATATAAGAACAAGTCCACTTACCAAATCTTCTGTCCTTTATATATTGCAGCAATTTCAGTAAAAGTGATGATCATGCCACAGATGGATTTAATGACCAACTCAGTTATGCCAAGATTGTTTACATAAGGTATGCAGTTGTGGAGAAGACGTAAAACTACACCTAGAAGGGATTAAAGAAAATATGCAGCCAACCGGACCAACTTGAATCCGATGTCTGGCCAATGGTTATGAATA